AGGAAGCCCCTTCCCTACCCAGCCCGAGCTCCGCGGGCTCCAGAGCTGCTCCCGGTTCGGGTGTCGGTACCGGGAGAGTTACCCCAGCCCCTGGGATTGTCTCCGGTACTTGGGGGTGTGTGAGTGATGTGCACGCGTGGACCTGCCCAGGCCGGCTGCTCTGTGTGTGCTCAGGGGATTTCTCCCCAGTGTCCCCATGTTCCATCAGGAACTGGAGCAGCTCTGAGCACTTACAGGAAGTTACGGGGGTTTTTGTCCTGGCCATTATCACTAACGTGTCATTTTCTCCTCATCTTGATGCCAATCTTCAAGAACAGGCAGCCTGAGACCCCTTCAGAGATGAGCCCTGGGGGTGGTGAAGGCAAAGGTGTGCTGGGACTTCATAGAATCATCGAATGTTGTGAGTTGGAAGGGATCCACAAGGATCATGGAGTCCAACTCCTGTCCCTGCACAGGACAATCCCAACATTCACACCATGTCCCTGAGGGCCTTGGCCAAATGCTGCTGGAATATTGTCAGGCTTGGTGCCATGAGCACCTCCCTGGGGAGCCTGTTCCAGTGCTCCACCACCCTCTGCCTCAAGAACCTTTTCCTCATGGCCAACCTCACCCTCCCCTGCCACATCTTCCTGCCATTTCCCCTGGCCATGACTCCTTCAGCTCTATTATACTACCATGAGATGGGGTTTAATTTATTTATTTATTTATCCCCACCATTCCCTGTGATCATAGAATCGTTTGGTTGGAAAAGACCTTTGAGATCATTGAACCCAGCCATACCTGTCCACTGCTAAACCAGATCTCTGAGCACCTCATCTACCTGTCTTTTAAATCCCTCCAGGGATGGGGACTCCACCACTTCTGTAGGCAGCCTGTTCCAGTGCCTGAGAACCCTTTCAGTGAAGAAATTTTTCCTGATATCCACTCTGAACCTCCCCTGGCACAACTTGAGGCCATTTCCTCTTGTCCTGTCACTTATTACTTGGGAGAAGACACAAACACCCACCTCTCTCTACCCTTCTTTCAGGTAGTTGTAGACAGCGAGAAGGTCTCCCCTCAGCCTCCTTTTCTACAGGCTAAACAACCCCAGTTCCCTCAGCTGCTCCTCATGAAACTTGTTCTCCAGCCCCTCTGGATACTTCATCCCACAAATACAAGTTCTGTCTTCTATATGGCATCTCCCTTTTCACCACGTTCTGGTGGCCACTGGATTTGATGTTATGGCATTGATGTTCTTCAGTAACTCCTTGCTTTTAAGTTTTTTGTTGGTTCCTCATCTTGGTATGATGGCCTTTTGTACTCTTTCATGGCATCAGTAAGTAGCTGTCGCAGTACATCTGCTCACTTTCAAAAATGAGCTATAACTTCTTATTTCTTTTAGACATAATTTTTTTTTAGGGAGCATATTACAAAGCAACTCTGAAAACAAAAGGTATCCGCTGATGTTTTAAAAACCACAGGTATGTACACAGTGATCATGAATGAAGTTTTGCTTTAAAATATGAACACTTGTTTTGGGTGCCTTAAAATAATGTTGATTTGAAATAAAAGGAACTTATTAGTCTTATCTGAGGTTCCTGACTTTAGCATCAGTGGTTTTGACTTTGAGCATCGGTAATTTCTTTTGCAGCATTGCTTTGGGAAATGTGAAACTGTCTGGTTTTTATTTCTTGGGTCGGTGTCACCACCACAGTCAGTCAAAACACACTTCAGTTCTTCAACTTAACTCCTCCCATTTCAGGGAAAGGGAAACTAATCCTTCACTCGAGTTTCATTTCAGTCACTCATCCGTATTCTTATAGTATAAGTAGGCAGATAAAGCTTTCTAATTAATACCCTTTCAAAAGAGTTTAATTAATTAAACTTCAGGGGTTTTTTTTAATAGACATTAAGATATTAACATAACCTCCTTTAAAAAAAAAAATAATGAAATCTGTGCAACATAGTATTCCAAACACTCACAACTTCCTACAAAAATACACACTTTATACTTTGCAAACAAAATCAAAGTTGAAGTGCAGCAGATGGACATGTCCATGCACATCTCTGCATCTCCCTGGGGTTTACTGCAGGGAGTGCACTTAGGCCTTAGATCTGTGTGTGTAGATCTGTGAGAGGTCACAGGTATTTTAGGCAGAATCATTGTAACACTTCCAGGAAGAGGTAGGGATTTCCTTTGGAGTGTTTTGCATTGTTTGAGGGCACACTATCAATTTTCTTTCATACGTGGCTAGAGTTCCAGTTTTGTTCACAAGTTTTAGCACATCTAGAACATTCAGATTATTCTATTTGAATGTGTTTGTTTTTCCAATACTTTTTTTTCTCTCGGAGCAGCTTCTGGACTGTGACATCTTTAAATCAAGGACCATATTTTCACTCTAGTGAGTGACTTTTCAAACTTTGCCTTACAAAGGAGGATGTTGTCCCTGAGACTCACAGTCCCTGGAATATTTCTGCATCTTTAAAGAGTTCTTTCTTCAGTGATGAATGTGTGCTCACCTCTATCGGACAGTGCCTGGAAAATTTTTAAGGGCAGTGAGAATGAATACAAAAGGAAACAGTAACTCTTCTGCTATCCCTTTATGCCTTTACATGAATTGGTTCCCAAAACTAGTTCCTGCTTCTGCTGATGTGACACTAATTCTCATTCTTCTCCTCTCAGTCTAGATGGTATATTTCATGGCTGAAGCGGCTAATGTTTTTATGCAATACTGAGGTTAGAGTTTTTTTTATTATTATTTTCACTATGCACTTTCAAAACTAACTTAAAATTCTCCTTTTATCTTTGTATCTCACTCGTGTCTCTGCAAATAATACATATCTGTGGTTTGAAATACCTGCAGGTGTGGCTTTTCAGCACTTTGGTGCTTTTAGCTTCTAAGAGTGAGCATTGAAAATCTTGGGGTTTGTGCTTATTTTAAAAAGGTTGCCTCTGAGTCTGCTGTACTGCATGGGGTTCATGTTCTGCTGCTCAGAACCGCGTTTTAATAAACAAACCCTGTAGTTCTGCCTTCTCCTAACTCCTCATTAATAAAAGGTTTTGATCACTCTCCTAGGATTCTGTCATCTTTCTCTTTCCCATCTCTTTCTTGTTCAGAGGCTGCATGTTCTTTCATCCCTTTTGGTTGCAGTTGGTTTCCAGTTTTCAGCCAAATCCTGTGTTTCTCTCTCCTGACTTTGTTCTCCGCTTTCCTCGCGCTCTTTGCACAGCGCTGCATGTTCTGACTGATGTGTTGCAGGTTTAGAGGGAGAAACTCACTTGGATTGTGTATCAGTATTGTGAGAAATAAAGGGGTTTGATTTACATGTGCAAGTTTCAATCTTGTAGTTTAGTTTGTCTTTTTAACCTGGAAAGAAAGGGAAAAGGTTGTGTTTCTGTGTGGCTTAAATAGAAGTTCTTGGAGACCCAGGAACCCTCTTGGAGGGAGGTCTGAGATTTGCTCTCTTTGCTTCCCTATCTTGTTCTCTTTAATGCTGTCTTCCAGAATGACTTTCTCTTGGATTTAGCTTCTTTCTAGACAAGCCTCTCAGCACCTTGCACCATGGTATTTTATCTGTCTATCTACACTTACTTTTCAGCAAACCAGTTCTTTTTCAAAATTGGAGCATCTCTATGGTTAGCCTGTCCCACCTGACTGTGTTAAAGGATGTTCTTTTAGAACCTTAAGTGTAAAGAATATCTGGAAATTGATTCTTCTTGTAATTGGGAACAAAATTTTCATCAATTTCACACGTATCTGAATTTCATCCTTGGAGTTCAAAAGTTACAGTCAAAAGCATTGATGAATTTCAAAGTCCTTTATAAATCCCATTCTCTGCTTCCATCTTGAACAAAAGAATAATATTGATCTGTTATGGCTCTACATATTTCTTAGTCTTGTGTTTGCAGGCACTTTTTTTCCAAACATTAGTTGTGTAGCAAAGCTTTTTATAGTTTGTGTGCATTTCTGCACTCTGGGTAGATTCTGGGGATGGACACCAGCACTTGGATTTCTAATTTCACATGGACCATGTGTCTGTGGGAAGTTCTGCCACCTATTTTGGTCTGTGTTGTCAAGTATAAAGTGGAGAAATGTGTTGCAATGTAGACAGGCATTTTTTTTTAGGTCATTACAAGTTATTAGATTTAAAAAACAACTTGAGCTTTATTCAATTCCTGTCATCAAAGTACAAGGGAATCATAGTGTGCAAATGTATTTTTAAAATGTAGTATTAAAAATTCTGCATTGATGACCTCCTTCTCTGGATAAAGGTTTCATCTCCCAAATGCTGTGCATGCTTCATAAATTTTAAGTATTAACAGTCAACAGGGCAGCTGAATGGGTGACTTCATTACAAGGTGTTACAAAATCTAATCCAGTTCCTGCCTTAAAAATTAATGAACCGGTGATCGCTGCTCACTAGAAAGTGGGTTTGTTATTTTATTTTTCCTCTGTGCAAATGAGGTTAGGAAATATCCAATGAAGTTAAAAAATAACTCAGGAGAGCATTTGCTACTTCTTTCTTCTAAGTTTCTTAAAATGCTTATTTGGCAAGAATCTGCACATCTTATCCCTGTTTCACAAAGGTCCTGCTCTCGCTGTGAGCTGGTGTTGGACACTTTTAACTGCTCTGTGCTTTGCGTTGGGTGGGTCCTCTTATTCATGAGCACATTTTGGTGGTTCTGCCTTGAAAGTACAATTTGAAGCACTTTCATGGTTTGGGACAAGATGGTTCAGCTCTCAGCAAGATTAAACCTGTCTCTGTTGCTTGTGAATTGTTACAAAATCTCTTATCGTTGAAGTAGTCCACTGTAAAAAATATATATATAAATAAATAAAAATATGTCTATAATTCAATTAAAATGCATTTTAAATTAACTCATACTTGCAATGTTTATTTCCATGAAGTTCAGAGGAAGAACTGAAGCTGTTCCTTGTGATTTCTGTCTAAATGCTGCATTTGCAATTAATCTAGGACATCTGTGTAGTGAGAACCTGCTAATTATCAGGTGGATGTGGCAGCACAGATTTTTCTCTATAACAATTTGAATTATGAACAAAATCAAGTGAATTCAGCTGTAACTAGGTAAATCTGTCACTTGGCAACTAACTAATGGGGATCATGTGAGCCACTGCTGTGGGTATTCTCATTTTGGGTTTGTTTGGGGGGTTTTTGTTTTGTTTTTTTATTAGTGAATTTTGGTTTCCAAATGTTTTAACTAAATGCTTTTTATTTGTAGGAGCAAAAATCAGATTTGTCACCGCTGTGTCGAAGGCGTTTTCAGGTAGGTTCAACATGAAGTTTGATTACTTGGAGAGATTAGCAATAATGAAGATCATGATTGGAATGGAAGTCCAATAAAATAAATACCTAATGTAACCATGTGGCTCTATTACTGTCCACTGTCTAGATCTGCTTGATGCTAAATTAGCAAGGCTGCTCTTGAGCATAAAGCAACAATTAAGAAAACTTTATTTCAATAATGTCTGCAAGGAATTAGAATCTTGAATTTAAGGGATATTACAATTTTAAAGTCTGATCTCTTGTCTTGACTAGGGTATGTAGTGACTCGGAGAGAAAGACAGACAGACAGGGCTTGGTTTTTCTTGTTTTAAAACCTTTGAGTTAAGAAAGAAAATGCCATTTTATTGTTTGGAATTTCCAGCTAGTTCTGACCAGTTTTGTAGGAAAACCTGACTGGAATAAAAGATGTCCTGGTTTTGCTAGGATAGAGTTAATTTTCTCTTTAGTAATTAGAGTAGCTGTATTTTAGTTTCAGTGTGTCAGTTCAGACTTATTATGAGAAGTACTTTGATAAAGATTAGCATAAAACATGAAAAGCTTGATTAATAAGACTATAAAGAGAAAGAAATGTTTTGGTTAAAGGAGATGGTGTGACCTTTTTTTAGTCCCAAGTTATTTTCAGGAATGCAGAGAAACAACTGCAGTAACAAGCTGGCTGGTTTTTGGGGTGCTGGGAGTGCAGAGTGGAGGGCACAGGAGAGCGATAGGCAGGGGAACGTGTATGAGAGATGCCGAATTCCGTCAATGGACTTTTTTAAAATTTTTAATTTTTTTTTCAGAAGCCAGTTTTATTCTGTGTCTCTGATCTGTCTCTCTCCTCTAGTTCTCAGACAGGCGCAACTGGAATGCAGCAAAAGACTTGCAGAGATACAGACGTTGTTACCCGGTACGGACTAAATGTTGTCGCACGTATTTTTGTGGCTCTTCCTCATCGCTTGTTAAATTCAGGAATGCTTTCTAGATTTGAGGGCACCCTTTTGTCTTTACATGGGCAGGCTCAGAACCTTTAAAGGTTTCATTAGTGAAGGGGAAGGGGTGGTGTGCATGTGGGTGCTTCAGAAACAAGCTGTTACCACCCAAAACACATTTCAAGGATTTAGCTTGAAATGTTTAGGAAACGCGAGGGAAAGCAAGAAGTGTTGAAGTGAATGCTGCCTTTTAAAAGATTGTTGATTGCTTGTTCTCATCTCCAGGATTTGATAGAAGCAGAAAATCAGGAGGAAGAAGAGATGTGGAACTTAAGCTTTTATAAAAATGAACTTGCTTTTAAGCCCCATGGTGAGTACCTCGTGTGATAACTCTTTCATGCAGCTTGTTGAATTGATTCTTGATCCATGTGGGACAATTATTAAAAAACCCAAACAAAACAAATAAACAAAAAACCCACCAAGAATTTCCATTTTTAAACGTCCTTGTTCCTGCTATATATTCCTTAATTTTCTGTTTGATGGTAGGAGAACTAAGGATTTTATTCTGGCTTACCAGGATTGTTGTCTAGTTAGAGAAGCTAATGCCTGTATGCGAACACTTGGCTCTGGCTAATGATCCACCTTTGGTGACTGACTAACGTTTTCATTTGGTGTCATTTCTTCTTGCCTCACTTTCTCCTTTTCTTTTCAGGTTTACATATTGAATCTCTGCTTGAATCTTGGTGGGACAATTATGAAGTTCTGGAAGAAAACCATTCTTACATACAGTGGTAAACTGTCTGCATGAATATTATGCCTCTCTTTCGTTGTGCCTCTTCTAAGAGTTGGTTGTATCCATGTTTCTGAATTCAGCTTCCCAAAATTACTCTTGAGTGAAACCTGTGTCCACTTTATTTTTATGGAGTTATATTATTTTGGAAACAATGCAGTGGAAATCCTGAAGACACAAGTTTCCAGTGCAGCTGTGGCAATAGATCTCAGTTATGCTTGGTTTTACAGCGCACTGCAGAACAAACTATTAGGGCAACAAGAGAGATTGAGACAAGCAAAATACTTTATCATCAGTGTAGACAATGCTTTTATGGGAGGGATTTATTTGTCATATATTAAACTACTTTTGTGTCCATAAGGATGTGAAGTCTCCAAGAGATTCCAGTGATATGACAATTTTTGGGATCTTTTTTAGTTTTAACAAAATAGATACCCTGAGTTATCATCTTTGCTGATGTCATCCTTGCTCATTGGGGCTGAAAATTTCTTTCAGGCTATTCCCTTTACGTGAACATGGGATGAACTGCCTCGCTAGACCACTCACCTGTCAAGAAATCCAGGTATTTAAAGCTTTTGCCTTTTTTTCTTTGAGATCTGAAGGATGTTAGGATTTTCCCTAAATGCTTTCTGTTTGAAGTCTAGGTTTGTTTGGTTTTGTTTCACTTTGCTTCCTTGGGACCCTAGTGTGAATGGAGCTCACTCAAGCACTGTTAAGCATTTGTCTGTCTTGTGTCTGCCAGTAGCTACACCAGCAAATTAAATACTTAGTGATATAATCAAGCCTCACTTATAATTCAGGTGCTACTTAAACTCGTGCAGGTAATTAGGGACTTGCACCTTGTATTCATTGGTCTGTCTTTTTTTCAGGCTTTTAAGAAGTCCAAAGAAGTTATGCAAAGGTTTGTACGTGCTTATCAGCTCATGCTGAGATTTTATGGAATCATTCTGATTGATGAGGAAACTGGAGAACTTAAGAGAGCAGAGAATTGGGCTGAACGATTTCAAAACTTGAACCGGTGAGTCTCTTTATACTGCTGGTCATTTACTACAGCCAGGCACTTCTTTGAGAAGAAGAAGAAAAAAAAAAAAAGTCAAAGTCAAGAAAATCCTCAGCTCTGGAGGAATGGAGGCCTTTGGTGATAAAAGTGTTGGCTAGCTAAAGTACTTTTAACTTGGCTCAGCCTGTGACTGTAGGTCATCACACTCTCTGTCACTTTAATAAGTGGCAAGCATTAGTAAACCAGCTGAGACTGGTTTTCTTATGTATCTGGTGCAGCTGTTAACAGCAGGCATTCTTCATGTTGGTCTCCTAAAGTATGAAATACAGACTTGGAGATGTTCATATTTGCTCTAGCAGAGCTTCTGTTTAAAACCATATTTTAAACAGGAATCACTGAAACATTTTCACAGGTAGCCAAATTGCCTTTGTAATATTGTTAAACTACAAAATAGGAGTGTTTTCCTATGTTTCCCTGATTGTTTATTGAATCCTTGGTTGAAAAGTGCTCTGCAAATTGATGTTGATATTTTTATATTATTGCAGGTCTTATCAAAGAGATAGTAATGACCCTTCATATTCTAGTACCCTTAATGACATTAACAAGGGCTGTAAAAGGACTGAGCATACTCACTAAAGAGAAAAACAACTTGAAGACTGTCAAGTATTTAAAAAAAAAAAAGAAAGCTTTATCTAGCTTTAGTCATTAATTTCTGGCAGCATCCTTACATGCCTGTATTTTGTATTCTTACACTTTTCTATAGGCTTACCCTGCAGGGTCACTGTCAGGGACAGGATATTGGGCTGCATGGACTTGTGTGTCTGATCCAGTATGGTGGCTGTTATCTACTGGTGGGTGATGCAGAAAGTCAGAACCTTTCCAGCCCGTTGAGATTATTAATCCAGGCAGTCCAAGAAGGGCTAGGAAGGTACTGCTGAAGGCAGACAGCAGCACAAGGTGCTTTAAAAGTAAACCTGCCTATGCTCCCATCTGCATTGTCAAATAGTCTCGAATAGATCACAGTCACTAATGCATCAAACGTTTTGCAGGTACCCTGGAGGGGTTAATTGTGACTTCAAGCTTGTAAAACTCACTTAATAACTTTGCTTATCTGTTTATTTCAGGTTTAGCCACAACAATTTGCGGATTACACGCATTCTGAAGTGCCTGGGGGAGATGGGATATGAACACTATCAAGTGCACTTGGTAAAGTTTTTCCTAACAGAAACTCTTGTTAAGGAGACGTTACCAAATGTCAAGAGAAGTGCCTTGGATTATTTCCTGTTCACCATCAGAAGCAAATGGGACAGAAGAGAACTAGTCTACTATGCTTGGCAGCACTTCAGACCTCAAAGCAGCTTTGTATGGGGACCACGCACCAAACTCTTGAAGTACAGACCTTGTTCTAACAAGTCAGAGCTGCACCAAAAGGCTGAAGATAAACAGGAAACTCCTGGTAAAAATGATGATTCTGTGGAAAAGGATCTGAACCAATCTCTAGAAGAACAGAAAGGTGAAGATGCTGCAGACTTGCAGTCTAAAGTGAATGATGAAGATGTAAAAGAGAAGTTAAATGACTGCATTTTGAAGGGAGGAGGTGATGAAGAGGAGAAAGAGGCTTCATTTACCCAGCAGGAGAAGGATTTAAACAGAGAGACTGAGGAAGTGCAGGGGACTGCAGAGAATGATTGCACAAAGGAGAGCAAGAAGAGAAAACTGGACACAGATATGGCAGACACTAAAGCAAGTGGACTGTTGAAAAGCCCTACTGATATTGAAAACATTTCCCGTAATCTGGGAGAATGTGCAATTGATGCAGATGTCCCCTCCTCAGTTCCACTCTTAAAAGCAGAAGAAGACCAGGAAACACTGAAAGATGACAGTGCAAGTACCAAAGACTCAACAGTGCCAGAGACAGCTGATGCAGCTGTAAAACGGAGGAAAGTTGATAAAAGAACATCGAGAAACAAAGTATTCAACTTGGCCATAAACCTGAACACGGTGCCCTCTGCATCTAGTGCCAACTTCAATCCATCTGTTGCAAACACTGAGGCTGAAAAAGAAAACATCAGTGAGAAAAATGCAACTACAGAAGCAACAAGTGAGAATAGTGGTGGTTATGCAAATGGGGGGGCTGAGACACCCCCGGTTCATTCCAGACTCCCCAAGACTGACTGCTCTTCTCCAATAAGCGATGGCTTGGAGTTGAGTGAAGATCAAGTCACAGCAAGGAATGATCAGCACCACTGCAACAGCACACTCCTGGAAAGCAAAAGTGAGGTAGATGGCATAGAACAGCATAAAAAGACAGAAAACGCAAATGAAAAAGGGCAAGCAGAAGTCACAGACAAGAAACAAGTTCCAGAGAGTCTTGAGCAGAGCATGGCATCTGCTTGTCCTGAAGAAGACAGTGCTGAGGTTGCAAAACAAAAATCTGAAAGCTCTGAGCACACAGCAGACCCTGCTGAGGAGCGGGTAGCAGCAGAACCTGCTGAGGAGCGGGTAGCAGCAGAACCCGCTGAGGAGCGGGTAGCAGCAGAACCAGCTGAGGAGCAGGTAGCAGGAGAACCAGCTGAGGAGCAGGTAGCAGGAGAACCAGCTGAGGAGCAGGTAGCAGCAGAACCTGCTGAGGAGCAGGTAGCAGCAGAACCTGCTGAGGAGCAGGTAGCAGCAGAGTGAGACCAGCACAGCAAGCACTCGAGCAAGTGAAGATGACACTGCCCTAACTGCTAGGAGCCAGCTTTAGTGATTTGAATAGCAGAATTATGCAGAAGAATGAGCTTCCTTTGGGCTGATCCAGGCTGGCCCTTGTCTGACTTTCACCCTTCCACACTTTTTTAACCATCTGTAAGAACTTCACTGAGATCCAGCTCTTGGTGACCCTAAAGAGGAAAACTAATATAGTCATTTTCACAGACAGGCTGCGTCCTGTTCCTGTCTTTTTATCTGATGTTCAGGGCTATCTTGGAGTAATTGGGATTTTTGCACTTTGCTTTAGTTCTGGTGTGTCCCTTCTTAAAGAAAAAGAGGGAAACTAATCTCTTTCCTTGTTTGAACTAGTCAAGTATTTATTAAATACTTTATTTTTAATGTAAGAGAGCATGACCTAATTTGCCAGGCCTTTCTATTACCATGTAACTTCTATTTGTTATTTAGAAAGGCTGTTCCTTCCCAGGAGATTTATTCCTGGCAAAAACGCTGTGTGTCTACTTCCCAGAGCATAAATCATGGTTTTTGTGGCATTTGCTTGAAAGAGATGAGTATATGCATTTCACTTCATGTAAGAGTGTAGTTGTGTCTCCTCCTATAAAGAGAGTGGGCTTGACTTTAGAGTGGGATAAAATACATAGTCAAAATGTGGCTGTGACCAGTATTAACCTTGGTGTACAGGTACTGTTCTCTAGGATCCAGCAAAGTGATGATTCATTTGTTCTGTTCCTCCCTTGCAGAAGTTGCTTTGTAGTGCTTGTTAGAATTGAGAATATTATTTGTCTACTAATTTCTAAGAGGAAAAACCTTAAAACTTTGCATAAAGCTCTCTAGAGCTCTTCTTCCCCAGATTTTTTCCATGACTTTCAGACCCTTGGTAGTCTTCCACAAATTTTTATGTCCACTACTGATTCAAAGGCCTTCCTTCCTCAATTGCCAAAATAGAACAAATATTTGTCATTGCATCTTTTCAGACTCTGCTGTTAATTTGCAGTTGCCTGTGGAGCTCTTTTCTGCAGGCTCATTACATGAAGTTAGATGTGTCAAATTTAACCCACTTCCTAGTTAGGGTAGGATTGTTTTACCATTAATGATCAGCGTGTCAGACGGTGAGGGCATGTTAGAGTGCAATGTGTCTGGAAACCACTGGGGTTTGTGGGGCAGTTAATTGAAACTTTAATTGGAGGGGGTATGCTTGTCTGGTTCATTTATTTAAGGCCCTCATGAATTTACTTTCAGACCTTGCCAGCTATTTGCCTGCCTTAGTGTTGCTGAGCTCCCTGGTAGCTGTTGTGCCTGATTTCCACAGTATTCAACCAAGTCTGAAGGAGCATGAAACAATTTAGCACTTTTACTCCTAGAGATTTACAACAGAGAACCTGTTTCATGAAGCGGAGGAAACAAGTTTCCAACAGCCAGAAGGTCTGGGGATTTACTGTTTGCTCAGATTGTTTGTGTTAGTTTGGGGGTTTTTAGGTGCTGTTTGTTTTGTGTAGAAGATGGCTAGAGGCTTGCCTGCCTTGCCAGAGAGCAGATGCTGTAGCCTGTGCAATGTTCATGTTTTTCCTTTCTCTGCTACAGCTCTTAAGAAGCTTCATCTTTCAAGGAATTTGATCTTGACTTGCCTTCCCAGACTGTAGGTCCTGATCCAGCATGCCACATACACGTGTGTGGGAATAAAAATCTGCAAGCTTAACATCTAATGTTCATGGTCACACATGTACTGGGAAAAGGCTTTAATGTTTCTAAAATACTTTTTTTTTTTTTTTAATGAGCAAATGGAGTTAAATAGCCAATAAGAATGCACTTAACACATATAAATACTTGAAGATGTTGAGTGAAAATTCTTTCATAAAAAATTCATACAATATTGTTAATCATGGCTTTTGTACAGATTTATAGTAATTTTCTTATTTAATTAAGTTTTCATTGTGAATACGTGCTCAGTTGGAGCATAGAACATATATCTTGTTATGGTGATGTGTGGTTTGGTTTTGTGTTTAATGGGGTTTCACTGTGAGCCCTAATCTGGAGCTCAAACCAAACTGTTCCCTATCATGATCAGGTTTAAGTTTTCAGCTGTAGGTGTGTGTGGTGAGTTCACAGGATGTTTTCCAGCACTTCAAGCTGTATCGTGGATTCTTATTACATTAATGTCACCTATTAAAGCATGACTTTAATGCATTACCTGTTTCCATTTATGTTTTTTCCATCTTTGAGGTCAGGACATGACCATATATCTGTCCCACCACCACACCCTGTAGTCACCTGCTGTTGCTTGGGCACCTCTGGTGAGTGGGTGTGTGGGGCTGTCCAGTGTTCCCACGCAGAGGTCTGGTGGGCCCACCATGAGATAAACCTGCTGTGTGTTCCCTCTGGAGATGATGCTCAATCTTCCTCCACCACTGTACAACGTGGCCAGTGAATGTTGGTGGGGATAAGACACCTCCCCACATGCTTCTTCCGTAATGATGTGCTTCAAAATGTTTCAGTGTGCCCTGTCTTGGCTTTGTGCTGCTGTCCTCCCAAGTTGTGATGCTCTGTAGAGCAAACAAGGACTTTGCTTTTGAGCAGCTCTTGGGAGGCAGGAGGGCAGCTGCCCAGCCTGCTCATGGGGGGTTCAGTGGGTCTTTTGCTTCAGGATACAAACACAGGGGTGTCTTTGTGGGAATGACTTCTGTAAGTCACTGTGTCCCTTCAGCTGTGCTCCCTCTGCCTGGGGCATGGAAGGAGAGGAGAACGAGTCCTTCTCATGTTCTGTGGGGTGGGCTTGAAGGTGAGTACTCCCAAGGCTCTTCCCATGCTGGTGATAAGCAGACTCTGCTTGCAGCAGCCCTTCAGTCCCTGGCTTGCTGTGAGCAACGTGTGGCCAAGGAATTTGGATCTGCTTTGCCTTCTCTTTTGCCATCAGTTGTCCTCGGTGCGAAGGAGGAGGTACAAGCTCTGTGGAAAACAGTTTGTGTGGCTGCACTGCTGTCCCTCGGCGGGGTTTGTGGGGTCTAAGAAAGCATTCCACTTATTTTGAAGCCATCCAAAGACATACAGACACACACTCCCTTTCTGTTCCCAGCTGCCTGTTCCACAAAATCTTGTAGGAACTTAGTAAATCTTTGAGCCCTTTATCTCTCTGTCAAGGTTGGTGGAACATTGGCTGCTGGGGAGCTGGACAGACCCACACTGTGTGCTCCTGTAAACCTCCTGGCGTAAAGATGCCAAACTGAAAACTGGGATTTCATTTTTTTTTTTCAAGCTTTGCTTTTCCACTTTGCTCTCCTCTTGCTGACCAAATGAGCTGTGTCATTTCAGTCCTGATGAATCTTGCCACTCTTCCTCTCCACTTCCAAGCCCTGCTTTGGATGAAATTATCTTTAATCGATGAAGGGAAGCATGAAGCTATTTGCAGGAGGTGCATCTTTGTGAATATATTGCCATGTGGGATCACCAAGCTGGGAGCTGTCATCATGTTTCTTCCTTGCAAATATTTCAAAGGCAATCTTTCCTTCCTTTTTCTTTTTTTTTTTTTAATCTTTTTTGTGGCTCTGAGAATGTTTCTTCTTTTTTCTTCCTCCTTGTATCTGTCTGTAATCATTTGTTCTCTGGTCAGGATTCGTTGCTTTTCTCAAGAAATCAGTTGCCATTCCTTAGATCCCCCTGAAAAAAACAAACAAACAAAAAACCCCCCCAAAACCCCCAGATGTGAATACACCTCCAGAGCTAATAAAGCATCTGGCAAAGCTGTACGTGCATTTCTCTCTAGTGCATCTTGCACTCGTTACAGGTATATTAACTTCTCTGAAGTTAGGTAGCCTCAGGCACTGAACAGCTCTTGCTCTGTGTTGCTTTTCTTCTGTCCAGCACTGAGGTGGTGATGGGCTTTGAGAAATGGCCCAGGTGAGACCTAAGGAACATCTTTGTCTCTCCAGCTGGAGCAGCTGAATTTTGCTCCTGTGGTGTGTCTGCAAGTCCAGCCTTTCCTTAGGCTCCCTCCCTGTTTGCTCAAGGCTGGGGCTGCTCAGGGGGCATGAATGAGAACCTCTCTTCCTGACTGACTGCTGCTCCCCCTCCTTCTCCCACCTCCCTCTGAAACCTCCTCTCTCCTCCCAGCTCAGCCCCTCTTGCCTGTGCTCCTGAGCTCTGCCCCTCTGGCTGGAGCCACAGGTTTATCTGGAGGCCAGGAGTCTCTCCTTTGTAAGCTGAGACCCAGGAGGAGGAGGAGGAGGGATCTGCTGGACCCTGGAGGAGAAACGTTTGAGCTGCCCAGGAGGAAGGAAGAGAGGCAGAGCCTGGGCACCATGGATGGATTCTCTGCTCTTGGGCTTCTCTTCCTATGTCAGCTGTTAGCCACAGCATCAGCTCAGGTAAGGAGCCTTTTTTATGTCTTACACTCAAGAAAAAGGTCTCTGAGTGCAAAAGCGATTGCAATCTCTCTATGTTATACTTACAGGATGAAATGTGGCAAAAGGCAGGTTATTAAAGTTTAAAGTTTATTTAAAAATGTGTGTGTAGCTCGTGCTGTTACACAGAGCGCCTGGCAAACACACCTGGTTTTGTACCTGCACAGGGAGGCTTTTAGTTCATATCCTCACGTGTAGAAAGAGCTGCTTTAAACTTTCTGTACAAGTATTGTCCTCCCACTCAGGACTGCAGTTACAAAAGATAAAGCCTTGGGAAAGGGAGCCCCGTTGATGTATGAGAACCAATTTTCTTTTTTAATTAAGTGACAGGCTCTCCAGATCGGGGTCTTCATCTGCATCAGAATTCCTTGTTCTTCCCTCAATCAATTTTCAAAGTTCACATTTATGAAATAGCATATTTAACCCTTGTTCATGTCAGATGTGAAGTTTTATTAAACTTCCCTGTACGGTGTTAATATTATTGCCTGGGGAAGGAACTCCTCGGTGAGGGTTTTCGTTGTGTGTGAGTGAGGAATTTTTGCAGTCTGGGAATTCAGAGCTGCCCTCATCTG